ACATCCAAAGACTATTTTTAAATAAAATCATATGTTCATAAAACCAATTCATTTCTGAATGTTTCCCATTAAATGAATTATTTGTATAACAAAACCATGTGTCTTTGTTTGGGTAACGGACTTTTGGTGTCGCACCGCCGGCTTCGCACACCGATACACTTTTTTGAATTTGCACCGTAAGAAGTGTATAAACTAGTAGCCGGACCTTCCACTCGAGGACGTGTCTAGCCCTTCTTGCTATACCCGGCACAAGTTTTTCTTTTCATGCAACCGTGCGACTCTGTTAAACCTTGGTCCAATGGTACCGAGCCCACTTATCACCCACCTACGTGGTGTTTGATATCAACCATGCACTCACACCCATGAAATGCGATGTCTCCGTGCAAATGCAATGTAATGAACCATTGCAATACCTATGTCATGCGTCATATGTAATGGATGTCATATGAGCCAATTTAACCACATATCATGTCCCATATATAATGAATGTCATATGGACAAATTAAATCACACATTTTAACATGTGTCATGACAATTTATATCAATGTATATAATTGTCATTATCTATCACAATGTCAATATATCAATTAGCACATATTAACATTTTTTTTCAACACAATTCATATGCATGTTACTACATAATCCATGTCAATAACACACTTAAATCACAAGGCACATTATAAACACATAGCATGCCCACATAAATACGTCCACATATCAAAATCAATCTAGAAATTGGTCTAGGTCATTTCTATATCCATTTCCTTATTTCTATGACTATAGGCAAGTCTTAAGTCATCCCATACATATACCCATTACATATGGACACCATAGGATAGAAATAGTCCAAAGTAGGAGGAAACCCTACGTCTTGGAGCGTGAGATGAAGTGTGGGAAACCTCAAGAACACTTCTAAGCCTCATGTTGTGATCGTGCAGCAATTATGGTGAATAGTAAGGAATCAAAAAATTAAGAAAGTAAGAGAAAATAACACACAGAGATTTACGTGGTTCGGCAATGTGCCTACATCCACGAGACCGAGCGGCCGTTCTTTTTTATTATTAAAAGTAGTGTTACATCTTAAGTATTTATATAACCCTAATACGGACGTATTTACAAAAATACCCCTGTACCGTACCGCGAGGCGTTGCCCCCGCACCCCCAACTAATCAACGTCCCCTTTATACAAATCCCACTCCGGCATCTACCTCCTTACCATTGTGCACACAACAAAATATGAGTCGTACATACTCTAACACCCCAAAACTCCTGATTTCACAAAATCTCATTCCTAGATCTTTGGTGAAATCCTTCGTTCTTGGTACGTGCGCGTAGCCCTTGTTGCGTAGACCAACTTTAATCCTTGGTCCAAGCGATTCCGACCGACGAAACTTTGTGGATCGAAAGGGAAAAACTTAAAAAAATAAGTTTTCTCTCTTCTCTCTCTTTCCTCTATCTGATTTAGCCGGCTAAGTGGGTGAGAATATCTGATTTTTCAAATATTTATCCCCTATTTATACCCTTTAATTGCGCGGTCCATATTGCCCCACACATTTATTACTTCCGGGTCCGTTTTTAACCCGAAACGACTTAATTAATTCTCAGTTTCAGTTTAAATTAATTTTATTTGAACTTTTATCTAATTTTAAGAAAATTTTATAAATTCTATTTTTTGGGGACCATTGTAAGGTCATTCGTCTCCTATTTATCTCGTAAAACGTGTAAAATATAATTATCTCGAAATTCGACGAAATTTAACATGGCCACTCGATTTTGTGATACAAATTCAACGGTGAGGTCCGTTTAGTCACCCGAGCTCTAGAGAATTTTTGATCTTAAACCCGCATTATAGTAGTAAATTATCATTTTGTCATTTTTTCGAAAAAGTTCAAATTTTACCGGGTTTCACAGTTATCTTAATTGCATTTAAAATTTTATTTTTTTGAATTTGATTTAAATAATTATCCCACCAGCCTCTTAGTTGGCCAATAAATCCTGTTGTGATAAATTTAGCAATAACATGATCAGAATTACGATTAGCTCGACATATTGATGCATACATTAGAATTTTATGTAAAACTTGATGAATTACATATTCAAATATACAATCAATATTTCATTCATAAATTGAAGAAACATCATATCTTTGTTGATTAATAAAAAAAAAAATTCATATAAAATATCTTGAGGTGTTGTCCTTTGATAGTAAGTCCTCATGGGAGGAGCTTGAGCATAGATATTAGTTTGAGATTTTTGTTTAGAAAATCTAATTTTATTCATTTCTTCATACTGCATTTGGTATAAAGAATCTTCAAAGTGTTGAATTTCAGTTTCAGATTGTTCTACACCTCTGGTTTTAGAAATTACATTTAATGATAATCCTTTTAATTTATCTTTGAGTGCATTTATGAACTCATCTTCAACTTTATTATGAAGACTAAAGTTAGAAGTGTCAACCGGTGGTTTGATATTGACATGTTCAAAATCATTTTCCTTGAAAGATTGTGAAGACGACACTTGCTGTGAATTTATTAAGTTCTCAATTTTAATGAGATGTTGACTTATAGCTTGGAGACAAACATTGGTATAATTGTTTTGTTTAATAGAAACTGTGTTGCTTGTATAACAAGCATTTATAAACATTTCTTTAGAGTTATTTAAATGTAACTTTATTGGTTCAGTTGTTGGGGAATAAAAACTATTTATAATTTTTTCATCAAGTGTTTTCCATTTATGCTGGAAGATTTCTAAAACATTTAAATGTTCAATAGTAGGAGGAACATAATAAGTTAAAAACCAATTAACAAAAGGAATTATCCTTCTTTCCCTTTTTATATAAAGGTAAAACATTTCTTTATAATTTTGAAGTTCTTCAAAACTCATTTTAATGTGTATGACTTTTTTGTTGTGTTTTTATTATAATTGTTTATGAATTATCAAATTTATTATGTTATTTTTAGTGTTATTAGTTTATTGTATTGGTTAATTGATGCATGTTACTCAATTGAATTGTTAAAATGATTCAAAAATTAATAACTAAAAAATTTGTGTTTACCTGATTTTCTACCTGATTGTTTTGGACAGAATGCGGGTTAGAATAGTACAATTTATCGAATAGAGTCATTTAAGAAAAAATTCTTCCACAAAATATCGAATAGAAAGACAAAATATCATAATTATTACCTTAAGATAAGGTGAACCCCCTACATGAGAGTTGAGAATCCGCTGGGTTTGGTAATTGTTTCAAATATTCCCTTTTTGTTCCTGAATAGAAATAAAAACTATAGTGTAGAGTACTATTGACTTTGAAAGGAAAAAAAGTGTACATGCAATTGAATGTTTCCCCATATTTATTGATGAAATATGGATCTAGATGAGACAAGAAATATTTTTTTTTTATGGAAAGCTTATGATTATTTTTTATTACGTTTCCTTGGAATTTAATTGTCTCACATTTATGTTATCAAATTACCTAGATCTTTTTTTTTTTGTATTTGTGCGTAAAATAGATATGTAAATACATCAATTCACATGTCTATATCAAGGTGCATTGTTCTTCATCATCCCATAATTATATGCTAGAGATCTGATCACATTTCTGTTGTTCTTCATCATTACGTACTTTGAGCACTAAAAAATAGGTTTAATCTCACCGAACTACTATAGTTATGAAAACTTGATCTTAACATTGAATNTCGGAGCCGAAACTAAGATTTCATTACGTACTTTGAGCACTAAAAAATAGGTTTAATCTCACCGAACTACTATAGTNTTGTTCTTCATCATTACGTACTTTGAGCACTAAAAAATAGGTTTAATCTCACCGAACTACTATAGTTATGAAAACTTGATCTTAACATTGAATGAGAAATTCGAGTTATTATACACTAAAGCAACTTATGGTTAGTGCATCAAAAAGTTATTCTTAATTTGAGAAGACAAGTACGATTCCCTCTCTCTCTCCCCCCACCCCGGCAATGGCTAACAAATTTTTCCAAACTAAGGGGTAAAATTTGTTTTAAAGTTGCATTGCAAGTATTTCTTTTTCAATTTTGATAATGGAGAATTACTCCCACCATGTGTGCTTTTTTATTTATGTTGGCAATGTAAAATTTCGTATCCGCATATTTATTAGCAAGTCATATACATCAGTTCGTTATGTCTCAACTTTATTTATTTATTTATGGACACAATACGAAGACAATGTAAAATTAGAGAGATTGAATTTTTCTTAAATCACCCACTTTATAAAATAGGTGGACCTGACTAAACACGATTAACAAAAGAATCAAATATGGATAGGGGGTGCCAAAATATAACACGACACAAATACGATACAAAATTAAAGGGTTTGAGTCTTTCTTAAGTCATCTGTTTAGTAAACGAGTGGATCTGACCCGACACGATTAATAGATAAATCGAATATAAAAGTGAAATCAATCAGAAGAAATACACAACACGACTTATTTTTATAACAATTATATACGATTTATACACAACACGAATCTGATATATTATAATTCGTTAAACACGAATTAATAAATAAATTGGATATGCGTGGATTATTTTTTCACACAAACCCACTAAAAACCAACAGGAATCCGTCTCATCCGACACGATTGACAAATCTAGGTATGAATGAAGTCGATTAAAATAAATATACGATTCGACTCGTCTATATATTAGTTACATACAATTTATATACGATATGAATTCCATATAATATAACTAATTAGATACAAATTAATAAACAAAGATTAAAAATTCGTTTAGCCCTAACATTACTCCGTCTCGCCCTACAGAATTGAGAGACCTAGTTATAAAATGCCCAAATCTAAGCCCTATGTTGTAATTTCACACCTAGCATTCTTCTTAACACTAATTCCATTAAAACCTCCAATCTCGCCGTCTATCACATCCCCATCAACGGCCATCGAATGCCATCTTAATTTGTAAAATTTATAGAAAAATGTATGCGCACACACCTTTGTCTCATCTCTGTCTTCTCAAAAGTACTCGACGCCCTCTTTCTCTCTGGTTCGAAATCAATTTTCTCTTCCGAGATCCCTAAAATTATTTCAGTCTCCTAACCATAATTTGGTGTTTGATCAGCTCCTTCAGCTAAGGATTTCAAACCCATTCTCTGATCATCACTTTTTCGTGTGTTAAAGTTCAAAATTTGTTACATTTTTTGGTTGTTTTTTGTTGTAATCGTCGTTGTCTTCTTCTTTTGTGCTATAATTGTTCTTGTGGGGTGGTTGATCGCAGTGTGTGACGTTACGAAGGAAATTGAGAGGTTTTTGTAGGTGGAGAAGAATTAGGGTTTGATAGGGATGAGAATCGGAGGATGAACGATGCCGGTACTGCGTAGCGGAGTGCGCAGAGGCCGGGCAGCGAAGCAGCAGCCTAATCTCAATCCCAGTCAGAATCCGATCGAAGGGGAGGCGATTGCGACGAGGACTAGGAGGAGGAGAGCGGCGGCGGCTGCGGCGGTGCAGGATACTGATAACAATCAGGCAATTGATGAGAACGAAGTTGTTGCAGGGGCACCAGTGGCAGAGGTAAGACAAGTAGAGGAGAGGATTTTGGAAGAGCCGGTTGGTGTCGGTGGTGGTGAGCCTGAGGAGGTGGCGGAGAAGCCGATGGATGATTACGGTAGTGGTGCTCGGAGCGCGGACAAAGTTCATGCCGGAGAAGATGAAGGAAGCACTGCTCCGCTTCCCGAAAAGGTGATACTTTTGATACCCATTCCTCTATTTAATATGCGTGTGTGTGTGTGTATGGATGGCCATCTTCTTATTTATCAGCTGGTTTTGTGTTGTCCTGCGGATAATTGGTTGCTAAATGGTGAGGATAAAGTGATGTGTATGGCTATCTTTATAATTTATCAGCTGGCTTTTTTTTGCGCATATTGAATTCCAATTCTATCATGGTAGAAGCTCTTCTGAAAAAGATTGCAGTTCTATTAAGGTAGAACTTTGAGCTATTTGAAGGCGTATTTGAGCTTCGGCCGTACAATGACTTTTTGTTTTGTGGAGTGTGCTAGAAAGAGATTTCTTTGTACAAATTGGCAAGTTATTAATCCCTTATCCCATTGGTCCCTGTTACCATGGATTTTGGGATGGGTGACCTGTTTACATACATAAGTTGGCTATATGTGCTTTTCAGTGCTTTTACCATTGCATTCGGCAATTATGTTTCATAATGTGGTAAACTAAATAATGAAAACCTTCTTGTTTGACTCATGGCACTAAATTTATTTCAGCGAGTTTTGGCATTGGACGTTGGACATTTCTCGGATTGCTTTGGAGAGTTAATGCTACAAATAATATTATTTGATTTAATGAAAGCATTATTGTTGGTGATCAACAAAATAAGTGTAATATTAATTGACTCACCATATATGTTCCCAGTGCAAAGCTGGGAGTCAATTTGGAGTGAACATCAGGGTTTAAGCACTGTTTTTTATTTAGCAAGTTTGTGTATGTCTAGATTATATTCTCTTATAGATATACTACTAAAAGATCTGTCGTTGTTTATGGCATGATGAAAACTACTCTGAAGAAAGGAAAAAGGTATAAAAGATAAAACCCACTGGAGCTGGAAAAAGGTATAAAAGATAAAACACACTAGAGCTAACATTCAGTTAATACTAAGTTTTGAGTTTTTGGGGTCATCCATAAAGTCTTAACGCAAAATACGAGAAGAATAACTCAGCATCAAGAAAACCTCTTGCCTTGACTAAATTTGGCGTCGCTACATATGGAGCACGGACACGGACACGGACACGGGACACCGACACAACACGACACAGACACGTAGATACGTAATTTTTCAAAAAAGTAGGACACGAACCTGTCGAGGACACGTTGAATAAATATGCTCAAAAATATATTTTATAAGCCAATATAATCCAAACCCAACATTTTTTATCAAATTAGATATTAAAATAACCAAACCACCACATTATCACTAAATAGCAAAGTCATTAAATAACAGTGAGCATAACAAAAAGTTTTTTTGTTCCATTTAATCATCATCCAAAATTCACATTTCAACTTTTTTACATCAAAATAGTTAGCATCTAATACTAGAAACCTTTACAAATATACCAAAAATAAAAACATTGTTCATCCTATTCAAACAAAAGGTCCCATCTTGATCAAGATCATTAAACTTCAATTGCCCCACCACCACTAGGTCCACTACAACTACCACTACCACCACCACCACCACCACCACCACCACCACCACCACGGGCACCACTATCTCCTATATTACCATCCTCACTAAACACCATGGCCTCCAACTCCGGTTCATCAAGTGAAAGTTGTGCAATCTCAAGCTCTCCTACATCTTGAAATGAATCAAAAGCATCTCCGACAATATCCCACATCTTAGTTTTTCCTTGCATATATTGTGGAGTTCTTCTTGATAGAAGACGAAGATTGCTATGAATGAAGACCAAGTCTTCGGCACGCTTTGGTGTCATCTTATTCCTTGGAACGGAGTGCGCAAAAGAATAAGTACTCCAATTTCTCTCACAACATGATGAAGACGAAGGTTGCAAAAGTAGCTTCAAAGCTAAACTTTGAAGCAAAGGTGCACTTGCCCCATAGGTAACCCACCAATTTTTAGGGTCCATTCCATAGCGATCATGGATTGAGTCAATATCCCCAAACTCTCCAGACTTCGTTGAGAAATTGTCAAATTCTGTACCTTTGCACAATCCTCCGGATTAGAAAAATATTTTTTTATGCATTTCACTCTTTCTAGAGAAACCTCCATATCTTTGTGTGGGGAAACTCGAGTAAGATCCTCATGAAGCCATTGATCACTATAGTACCTTAAATAAGAAAAAAGAAGTAAGAAGTAGTACATGATTAAGAGGGGGGAAAAGTTTAAGAATTAGAAATCACCTTGGATTCAATGAATGGGAAAGGCAATGGAGGAGAGTGTTATTTTTATTCCAATGATCAACAAGAATTTTGTGCACCACATCATAAAACGTGGATGACTCCTCCACCCGCTTTCCTTCATGTCTATATATTGCAATCCTCACTTTTTCTATCATTGTATCCCACATGTCATATACCAAGTGAAGACAAGGCTTGTCGGTATCACAAGCCCTAAGCATATCATATATAGGAGTTGTAAATGCAAGTATGTAATCAATAGAGCCCCACCAAATGTCATCCAACACCTTCTCTTTCACAAACTTAGTTTTCCCCACATCATTTTCTCTATAATTACTCCACCTCTCACTAATAACCATGGCTTGAAGAAAACCTTTTATGAGCTTAAATCTTTTAAGCATTACAAGCACCGAAGCAAAACGTGTACTTGCAATAGAAAGCAATTTCAAAGGGACAAATTCATTGAACATTGCCAATCTCATAGAGTGATTCATGATGAAAGTCTTAATAAACACAATATCATCCACAATATCTGTAATCCAAGAACACTCATCAAAGGTTATTTGATTATTTTCAACATTCTTTGCCACACAAATATTTTGCAAAGCAAGGTTAAGTGTGTGAACCACACATGGTGTCCAAACAATATTATGATATATCCCTTCAATGAGATGGCCCGCCCCCGAACAATTCTTAGCATTATCGGTAATCACTTGAATCACATTATCGGGGCCCACATCATGAATTACTTCTTTCATCAAATTGAAAATAAAGAACTTATCTTTAGTTTCACCCGAACAATCCACAGATTTAAGGAACATAGGCCCACCTTCCGTCACGGCCATAAAATTAATTAAGGGCCTTCTTTGTGAGTCACTCCATCCATCACTCACAATGTTCACACCTTTTTCTTTCCATGTGCCTTTAATGGGTTGTAGCAATCTCTCAACATTAGCATGTTCTTGTTGGAGTAAAGTAGTCCTCAAAGAATTATACCCCGGTGGCAAATAACTCGGAAGAGGATTAGATGCAGCAAATGAAAAAGCACTAACAAAATATGGATTCCTTGCAAGGTGAAAGGGTAAGCCTCCGGAATAGAACATTCTAGCAATAAGTGCATTTAAATGATCACGCGTCTTCAAGTTGAATGCCTTTTCAATAGCCGAAGTACTTCCGCTTATAGTCACCTTTCTTTTCTTTGATTCATAACCCCCTTCATCAAAGCTATCCAAATGATCCCCAAATGAGACACTAGGAGGCAATGGTTCTTTCTTCGGTGCAACTTTCCTCGATCTTTCCTTGGCTTCATCCTCTAATTTTTGCATATCTACAATATCTTGGCTTGTAACTTTATGACATGCTCCAATTCCATAACCAATCAATTTCAATAAATGAGCTTGTACTCTTGTGTATGAGCTTTTCTTAGTTTGATTGCAAAAATTACATTGCCAAGAAATATTTCTCCCACCATCACTCAATTTCTCGAATCTTGTAACGTACCTCCAAAGAGGTTTACTTATGTCTTCTTCAGTAGATGGTGCACTGCTAGCTCCCGTAGAACTCATTTTCTTCAATTCTAAATAAGGCCAGAAAAATAAAAGGAAAAACAGAAATTACAACAATAGAAAAAAAAGTAGCATACAAGTAAAATAACTGATTTGCAGCAGCTCATATAGGAAAAAAAATAGCAGGCAACAGCAGAAACAACAGAAAAAACAGCAGGCAGAATCTCATATAGCAGAAAAAACAACAGGCAACAGCAAAAACAGTAGGCAGAAGCAAAAACAATAGGGTTGTAGCAGCAAAAAACAGGGAAAAAAATACCAGACAGACTTTGCCAGAAAAATAGCAGCCAGAAAAATAGAATGAACAATAGAATAGAAGGCTTTGCCAGAAAAATAAAATAAAAAAAATGCCAATTTTATTTTTTCCTGTAACTGAAAACCCTAAAAGGAAAAGCCCTAAAGATAGATGAGAATCACATTTTTTTTGCTGAAGGTTACCTGAAGATAGAGGAGAAGCCCTAAAGAGAGAGGAGAAGCCCTGAAGATTACCTGTGATGTGCTGGTTGTTGAAAAATTGCCCAAGAAAATAAGGAATCTCGAATCTTGACTTGCTGGAGAGAACCAAAGTCGCTGGAATGAACCAAAGTCACCGAAGTGACAGAGATGCCTAGACGTCGCCGGAGTTTTCTTCTTTTTTTTTCGTCGCCTCTGTTCTCTTCTTTTTTTTTTCTTCGTCAACTGTGAGAACACAGAGAGTGAGAGATATATAAGAAATATATATATTTATGTTTTAATTCCTAATCTTTGGGTTTTTTATTTTCTAGCCCAGCCACTTTTAAATAATTACTAAAAAGACCCCATGTTTTAATTTTAAAATTACAAAATAGCCATTAAACGTGTCCACTGTGTGTCCGAATTTGAAAAATTAAAAAAAAAATTGGACACTCTAATTAACGTGTCCGTCCATGTCCCAGACGTGTCGGACACGAATACGTGAGCCAAAATTGAGTGTCCGTGCTTCATAGGTCGCTACACACTGAAAAAATCAAAAAATTTGTTGATTTGATTCATCCATCTCATTTTGTGAGGGAGGGAGGCTATGAAAGAGTCACCAAGGCTGTGTATTTTTTGTTTGGTTGATTCTCGAAATCACCTTTTGTAAAGTAGCCAGAGAAAGCTTTTAGTTACGGCATATAGTATAGCTTGTGTGATGCTGGTAGTAGAAATCTACCGGTATTTAGATTTGATTTCTAGCTGATCTAGAAATTTAGTAATAGGCCTGAGGTTAAATTGATCAAATCTGGTTCCTCAAGGGCGATCTGTTTTGATAAAGGCAAAGAGTTCTCTGGTGAGATCCAGTTTGAGAATATATCATTACATCGTACTTCTGGCCTAGGTTCCAATCCTTGCTTTTCTCTAAAATTGAGAATCTTCATGAGAATTGGAGCATCTATGGCAAGGTTCAAAGTATCGGTCGACACATATACAAGTCGACTGAGTCGTATCCGATTGGGCTTTTTCTGAGGTGAAACTGCTTCATGTTACGTGAAAACTCCGAGTCTTACACGATTCGCTTGATTTATCTAAGATGTCTTTAAGTCCATCCAGAGTTGCCAAGTTATCGTCGTCAAATTGATCGATACTATTCTGCGACGTTGCAATATAGCTTTAATTTCTCGTATGTCCAATTCCATTTTGCCAGATCGTATTGCTCAATACTGTTCTACGATACCGCGACCGATATATTTCAAAACCCTCCGAATTGCTGGCATATACCGCGACTTCACGGCATGAATTACCTATTTAATATATCTATGGTGCTCGAATTCACGGCATGCAAGTCTTGAATAGCTATTTAATAAACTCCCATAATTCTCGTTTTTTTTCTCGCCTGAGTACTTGTTGCTGTAGAGCTTGCATCCGACATTTGATCTATCTAATTTTGTGGCNTTGAATCATATATCTATGGTGCTCGAATTCACGGCATGCAAGTCTTGAATAGCTATTTAATAAACTCCCATAATTCTCGTTTTTTTTCTCGCCTGAGTACTTGTTGCTGTAGAGCTTGCATCCGACATTTGATCTATCTAATTTTGTGGCAAACTGCCAACAAGGGTTTGTTCCTTTTCGACTCAGTTGATTTGGTTGTCATATACAAACCTCGACCAACTTTCCCTTCCGACTTTGTGAATTTACCTCAGTGTGCAAAGAAAATAATAAACAAAATGGCATCTACGTAGCCCTAATAAAAGGTTGTAGAGTCAAATATTGAGCTAAGAAGTGGGAGAAATTTTGGAATCATCGAATGTGTTGAGATCTTAGCCGTGAGATTGTTTTGAGCTAAAAACAGAATTTTTTTTTAAATGCATATAATGATGTACAATTTTAGTTGTAAAATTGCTCCTGTGTTGAATGGAGTATTGAAGGCAGAACGTTTTTGTGGTTACAGGTTCAGGTTGGTGGTTCCCCTTGGTACAAAATTGAAAAGAAGCTCGGTAAGGGAGGTTTTGGACAAGTGTATGTAGGTCGCCGGGTTCCTGATCTTTTTGGTGTCAGAACTGGCCCTGATGAAGTATGTAGCATATGCTGTTCAGTTTCAGTAACTGAGTTATTCATCATCATCTTGTTCAGAAAAATATAGACATATTTGGGACCCATGTGTTTCAGGTAGCCTTAAAATTTGAGCACCGAAGTAGTAAAGGATGCCCTTATGGACCACCATATGAGTGGCAAGTTTACAAGTAAGTATGGTCCCCTTAGTATCTCTGTTGCGAGGTTTGCTTTTGTTATGTGCATGAATTTATCACTCTATTTTTGTCTTTTGAACAGCACTCTTGGTGGAAGTCATGGTGTACCACGTGTACACTTCAAGGGTCGGCAAGGTGAATACTATATAATGGTATGCAGTCATTACTGTTGATTACTGGTTTTATTCAATTGAAGTCTTTTTTTTGTTAGTCAGCATCTGTGATATTCAAGAGAATTCCTTAATTTCTGCAGGTTATGGATATGCTGGGACCAAGCTTGTGGGATGTTTGGAATAATAATGCTCAGATGTGTGTAAAGCATTGATTACAAATATTCATATGTATTTGGCTCTATTTCTTTGGTATATATTAATTGTTCTGGTTGCCTGATTAGGGTTCTTTTTTATAATTTAAAATTCAGGATGTCCATTGAAATGGTAGCATGCATTGCCATTGAAGCAATATCTATACTGGAGAAGTTGCACTCTAGAGGGTGAGCCTTTTTTTCATTTGTCACGACATGCATCCTTCCTTAATTTGTAGTTATTTCCTTTTCACTTAACTTTTCCTCCTCTTGGGTTTTTTTATTGTTTATTACTTAGAAACATATTAATTTGTTCTCCTTTTATGAGGAGTTTTTTGACTTTTTCTCTTCTTATTTTTTTATGGCACTCTTTGATTAATACATGCATCGGGGGAAGTCTACCGTAAATATATAATTTTCTTTTCTTGGTCTTCTATTATCTTGTTGAAATTCATGTCAGTTGTCTGATAGATGAATCTGTCCTTATCTTTCTTCTGTTTGATTTGTAAGATTTAGAATTTTTATAATAATGGATCAACCAAAGATGCGCTGACCTTTTTTTGCTATGCGGTGAGCCTTTCCCTGGTTGAGGGGTTCCACATGTGATGCTTCCATATTTTTCAAATTGTGGCAGTGATGTGGAAGCCTGGTGGAAACCTGGAGTCTGCTCATCCAATCTCTGTTGAGAATACAATTTGAAACTGGAAAATTTATTTTTCCAAATATGCTACCTCGCCTTATGTTGTTATAATTAATGATACAGACCACCTCTTTTTCCGATGAATATAAGTTATCTTGAGACTGTGCATGTTATATGACTTATTGCACTAAATTGCAAGAACTTTTGGCAGGTATGTGCATGGAGATGTGAAACCTGAAAACTTTTTGCTTGGTCCTCTGGGGACTCCTGATGAGAAAAAGCTTTTTTTAGTTGATCTTGGATTAGGTACTTTGTTGATCACTTATTCTTAGTTCGCAGCTATAATTCTGGAATGAAGTTAAGTATCTCATTATGTTTAATGTGTTTGGGCTATCAGCTACTAGATGGAGAGATGGTTCAACTGGTCTGCATGTTGACTATGACCAAAGGCCTGATGTTTTCAGGTACATCATTCTCCATGTGGAAAATGATTATTAATTTCCTGATCAGTGGCCTTTTTATTTTCTTTCATAAACTTTGTTGCTCCTTGGATGATTTTAGCATTCTGGTCTGGCAGGGGAACAGTTCGGTATGCTAGTGTGCATGCTCATTTAGGCCGAACTGGTAGCAGGAGAGATGATCTCGAATCACTCGCTTACACACTCATTTTCCTTCTCCGTGGTCGTTTGCCTTGGCAAGGATACCAGGTAGGCCCTATCCAAATCTCTTCTAAAAAAAATTATGTGCTGTGCTATCTATAATTTTTTGACAATATGTTGTTGTTTCTTAGGGTGAGAATAAGGGGTTTCTTGTCTGCAAAAAGAAGATGGCTACTTCTCCAGAGAATCTATGTTCCTTCTTTCCACAGCCCTTTAGACTGTTTGTGGAATATGTGGTGAACTTGAAATTTGACGAGGAACCTAACTATGCTAAATATATTTCCCTCTTTGATGGGATCGTAGGCCCAAATCCAGATATCAGGCCAATTAACACAGATGGTGCACAGAAGGTGTTGAGGATGTTCTTTCATATTCTATACTGAAACATTGCCAAGCTAAAGTTAATTATGTTTTTAGAGATTATGTACTAAATATTCTTCTGGATTATTATGAGTGTATATTGTTCTTTAATGTGACTAACTTGAAATTTTTTTGTGATATGTAGCTTATCTACCAGGTTGGTCAGAAGAGAGGACGGTTAACTTTTGAGGAAGAAGAAGATGAACAGCCCAAGAAGAAGGTTCGTATGGGGATGCCTGCTACACAATGGATAAGCATTTATAATGCTCGTCGACCAATGAAGCAAAGGTATATTTTTGCCTCTACTATTTTCTTCCAACAGGGCTAAGTTTTAAGGTGTATCAAATGAAGAATTGTGAAGATGAAAAGTGAAATTTTAAAAAGTAGTACGGTAAAGTTGAGGATTTTGTGTTGTCATTTTGCTGTAGGTATCACTACAATGTGGCGGACACGAGGCTTTCCCAGCACATTGAAAAAGGAAATGAAGATGGCTTGTTTATCAGTAGTGTCGCATCTTGTCAAAATTTGTGGGCCCTAATCATGGATGCAGGAACCGGCTTCAGTTCACAAGTTTTTGAACTCTCACCCTATTTTCTTCACAAGGTGCAAACTTGTATTATCCTTCAACCTGAACCAACTTTTTCTGGGTGTTTCATTGTTGAATTATATGGGTATATTTGGTCACAGACCATTTTCCTTAGATTGCTTTAGCATATATATGTTTGACAAAGTGACTTCTGAATCTTTTTGTTGTCTGAAGGAATGGATAATGGAGCAGTGGGAAAAGAACTACTATATAAGTGCAATAGCAGGAGCGGCAAATGGGAGTTCTTTGGTAGTAATGTCTAAGGGTAAGTCTAAAATCATTGGATTCTTTTGACTACTTTTATTGATATTTTCTTGATTTTCTTTACTT